TTCAAGACAAAAAATTAGCTCCCCCCCCCCGATAACGCGAAAGAACCCAAAAATGAGCTATAATTTCAAAAAGTACCGATAAAAAGCCAATTTTTTCCAAGGCAAATCTATGTTTTCTTATTTTCTAAAGTTTTTAGGGCCCTTGGATCCACAAACGATGGTCAGTTGCCGGAACCGAATTGCGGGCCCATGTTTGGCCACCCACCCGTGGCCCATACATATTGTAGAGGGGAATGGCAAATACACAGCGCCACCAACACCCAAACCCCACTTTACTCAGCCATTTCCGGCAATAGGAGGGTTGTCAATGAACGGACAAAGCCACAAAGTCTATGAAAAAAAATGTCGGAATATTGAAATTTCAACAAAGTTCGGCATTTTGTAAAGATTATTTGGTTGCGTTTTGCTAAAAACACTATCAAAACCCTTAAGATTACGTTACTATACATTCCCGGACTTATAGGAAAAGATGGTTCCCTCGATGAACTCTCCCCCGTTAATGCGAAAGAACGCACTAATTTAATGTCATACTTCTGCTAAACACGCACAGAAAATTCTTTCACACCGTCGTCTCACAAATTGCTGGCCCCGCATCGCCGGCGCTGCTAAAGCCAGCCGATGGGCCATAAATCGCCGGTGGCCGCTGGGCATAAAGGTGGGGGCTGTACCTAGCCAGCCAGCACACACTCACGATTTAGCGGTACCAATTGGTGTTTACGGTCGGTGCGCGAACAACGCGACCTGGGGGACCGCCTTTGATTTGGGGAGCCGGTGAGTGATCGCTGGGGTTGGTTGGCACCCGGGTGTGAAACAGCCGTTACGGAGCTTTTGCGTTATCGGGGGGGGGCGGCGGCAGAAATGCCTGCTAAGGCTAAGTAATTTAATTGTGTTTTTTAGTAAATCCGAAAATATTTCAAGTGCAAAAACCATCTTAAAAAGTCTAGAAATTTTCTAGGTTTATCGAAAATGGTTCCTTTTGTTACCGAAAACCCGATAAATTATGTATTTTCTGAATTGTAGTGCTCCCCCTGATAATGCTCAAGCACCGCCGCACATCGACGAGCCGAGCGTCAGCGAGCAGTTCGTCCCCCAGCGTATTGATAGAGCTACCACGATGGGGGAAAATGCCAAAATCCCGACAACCAACATCCCGATATGCCATAATCTCGATGCCCAGATCCCGACAGCCAAAATACCGACAAGCAAAATCCCGACATGAAAAATATGTAGTTCTCTAAGGCAGTGGTATTCAAACTCGCCTCAAGAGAAGCCGTATTTTTTGTAGTTCGGAATTTGCCTGTCCGGCTTTTGGCTTGTCGGTATTCTGGCCGTCGGTATTTCAGCTGTCGGGATTCTCTGTCGGTATTCTGGCTATCTGGATGTTCGCTGTCGGGTTTGTGGCGTCGCGATTCTTCGCCGGGGTCGAAACCGTCGGGGTTTTTGGTGTCCGTATTATGTTCGTCGGATTTTGGCTATCGGGATTCCAGCTGCCGGGATTTTGGCTGTCGGTATTTTCGGTGACGGGGTTTTGGCTATCGAGATTTCGGTGGTCGGTATTTTGGCCGTCTCGTTTTGACTTTTGACAATAATTCATCACGATGGTACCCTAGCCAATCGATAAACCTCTATGTATCCTGAGGCAACACCGGAAGTTACGCACAGCCAAGCTTTCCCTTCAGCCAGCCGGGGGCATCGCACAATGCGCACAAAGCCACACCGCCATATTTGTGGCGTGTGTGTTTGGGCGTGCAATTGTTGTGTCAGCAGCGCCGGGGGTTGGCTGTCAGACGACCCATGCAAATTGGCCCCGGCGGGGTGCCCACCAATTCGCGTTATGGGCCCAGCCCCGGATGACTCGCATTCCCACGGGCATTCCCGCGATGCTCGCCCACTAATTGCCGATTCCCGCAATCATACACGCCCAGGCGGCCAAGCAGAATCCCTAGAGTCCGATTAGTGGATGGGGGGCATTGTCTCGGCAACAGAGCGCCTGGAAATGGGAAAACGCTGAAACGGTATAATAATAGACATATAATTCATTACTAGGCCTAAGCGTAAGGTTAAGCCTAAGCCCCCAAGCCAAGCCTAAGCCTAAGCCCAAGCATACCCCTAAGCCTAAACCTAAACCCAAGCCCAAGCCAAGCCAATCTGAAGCCTAAGCCTAAGTCAAGCCTAAGTCAAGCCTACTCCTAAGCCTAAGCCTAAACGCAAGCCCGAGCCAAGCCAAAGCCCAAGCCAAGCCTATGCCAAGCCTACGCCTAAGATAAGCCCAAGCCAAAGCCTACGCCTCGATGCCAGCAACTTACCGGCTGAGCAACGAACCCTCCTATCGACGCAAATCGGGGGCTCAAAGCTAGAAGTTAAAAATCGATCCTAGGAAAAAGAGAGGGGTTTTCTTAGCCTCCTCCCACCGCTAATAGTCCAGTACCAAAATGTACCACTTTTTCCCGACTAAAACCTACTCCCAAAATCTCTATCAAAGCACCGAAGTGCGACTGACCGTATAGGGTTGACCCCGGCCGTCCATACTCACTACATGGCCTTGCAGGCGCGAAATGGAGCGTGTGAAAAAGGGGATAGGTATCGGCTACATTGTCTTCCTTTGCCCACCCATCTCCCCCGGCGGCTCGATGCTGTTTTTCCAGATGAATGCCCCCGATCCGGGATACAACCCCGTCCGATTGCTTGCCTCGGGTCGGGGCAAAAGAAAACAAAACTCACGGGGGGATTGGTACTGGGATGTTAGCGGGGGGAACCCACCTTTTCCAGTAATCCTGTACGAGCTATAGCTAAATCTAGACAGTTTTAAAGCACTTTAGAAAGTTTTTATGGCAAAATTTCGAACATTTTGCTTTTTGAGCCAAAAATGTATGAAAAGTGACCAACAAGGTCAAATTTTCGACTCTGCAGAATTTTTCAAATGTTTTTTAAAGTATTATGACTACTAAAACACACTATAGCTAATCTAGAGCCAAAAAAATCGTCGCCCTCCCCCCGCTAACAGCACAGTACCCGATATCGTTGGTCGGGATGGTTCTTCAAAAAATTCTTAGCCTTCAATAAAAAAACTATTCGAAATTATCAGGTGATAGTTGCTTAACGGGGGGGGGGGACAACGCGTAGATAAGCAAATGTTGTCTTATTCAAGAATCCTGGGGAATAGAGCCGAAAATTTAACCAAGCTGCCTCATTTTAGCCAGGAAAACCTCGACATTATTTTTGGTAGGGAGTTTTCGTCATTTTTCGGCATTTTAAATGGTTCCTTGAGACGCCAAAGTAAAATCTCCGCTTCTTCGCTAAAAAGCTTTTCCACCTCGTTATAAAAGCTTTCAGCCGCCACTGCCTTGAATGAAAAATTTATTTTGAAAGCGAAATGGTCAACATCTTCCCACAATCAGCAGACCCAGGAAAATCGCCTGACAAGCCATTTCTATCACCCGGTTAGCCCCTCAACCCTATTTTGCAATACAACGACCGTTACAGAACCCAACCAATGCTACCCATTCGCCGCGGACTGCATGGGATCCCCCGTCGCGGGCGGGTTGAACGGGTTGCCGGCTTCTTCTTGCGTGCTCTCTACTACCTGCTGATCTTCGTGTTCACCTTCGGCGCCGTGCTCATCTTCTCGAGTTGCTATCAAATGTACCGGGTAGGTTCTTAAAAGGAGCCGGTGAGACTTATTTTGGTTAAACTGTAGATAAGCCCCCCGGTATTGGACTGTTAGCGGAGGTGGCGGTTAGCAGGCCGCAAACAAAAAATTTTTCAAGTCATCCCGTACGGTCCTATAGCAAAATGGACCCATTGGGTGGCGATCACCTGTCCGAAAAACACCAGTCCGAAAGACACCTGTCCGAAAAACATCTGTCCGAAAAATCACCCGTCCGAAAAAACATGTGTCCGAAAAAACACCTGTCCGAAAAGTCGCCTGTCCGAAAAATCGCCTGTCCGAAAATCATCCATCCGAAAATCTACTGTCCGAAAAGTAAATTTCGGACCATGAAATCGAAGTGCGGCTGAAACTTCCCAAGACCTTCAGGTAATCTATTCAAACCGGATTTTGGAGAAAATGGGAGGGTAGTTTCCATGGATACGAACCGCTACTGTATCATAAATTTTTGGAGAGTGACTCAATGAGCTCGGGCAGGCATTCCCTAAGATATGGCCAATGAAACTTGGTTTGGTCACGATTCAGCGGCTTTCCCCATGTGGGGCTATCTGGTGGCAGTTACACCTCGAACCTTTAAGAACCGGCCAAGTAATTCGAAAAGGGTTTTGATTGGCTGCTTCGGACATTAGTCTTTCGGACTGGTGTTTTTCGGACAGGCGACTTTTCGGACATATGATTTTTCGGATAGACGATTTTCGGACAGGTGTTTTTTCGGACACATGTTTTTTCGGACGGGTGATTTTTCGGACAGATGTTTTTCGGACAAGTGTTTTTCGGACAGATGATTTTCGGACAGGTGTTTGGCAATCGGACCCATTTTATACCATTTTACACAGTTTTCCGAGGTGTTTACAGCAATTTATACGTTTTGTCAAAAATTCTAAACCTTTTCGACATTTTTAAAGGAAATTCACGATTTTTCAAAATATTGTCCTCAGTTTCTAGAAATCATAAACTACTAAAATTACTATAAAAATATAGTATATCTTATCGACTAGGCGGAAAAACAAAAATTAGTTTCACCTGTTAACAATCCCCCCGCTAACAGTTTAGTACGAGCTTCCATTTCCCCTCTGGCGCAGCCGCCCGTTTGTCTAGACGGGTGTAAAGTATACCAAAATACTCGCCATACCAAGACGAGCATTTTCGTATACTTTACACCCATGTAAACATACGAGGAGCCAAGATACAAAAGTTTAGGCTCGGCTCGGGAGGGGGTATCTGCACTTACTATGTATAACCGTACAACCTATTCCAGTCAATCCCGCAGCAGGTCGTACGCAAAGGCGGCCACATTTGCGCCGACGTCGATGCTCAACTCTTTGACCCATTCATGAGGTAGAGAAAGATATCCTCAAACACAATTTCATATAATGGGTTTAGGAAGGACGGGCTCCACTGCTTCGACGAGAAGAAGTGCAAGCTGATCGACATGATTCGCTGGGATGAGTGTTGGTTGAGCATCACCCTAGCAAGCGCAAACGTTTAGTCGCTATTTGCTACCCATGCTGGGCGCAGCTTATCGTCATGATCACCTGCGGTGTCGCCGGCATGATGGTCACGTGAGTTTGCTAGATTTTGCTGAAAGCGCACGAACGGCGAACACTTTCCGGCGAACAGATTGCGGGACGGTACGGGCCGCCCAAAATTCATTTTAAGATTTTTTTATATAGATTTAAATAGATTTTTAAGGTTATTCCTTGGGTTATACTGCAGATCACCCCCAGCCGGGGGTTATGTATCTTGACTCCCTGTGCGTCCACGGGGGTGTAAAGCGTACTAAAATGTTCGCCTTGCTTTGGCGAGTATTTTGGTATACTTCACACCCCGGTAACACAACGAGGAACCGAGATATAGTAGAAGTTCGGCTGAGTGGCGGGTATTTGAAGTTTCGCGATTCCTTGCTTAGGAGGCCACGCATAGCCCATTTGTATCGAAAAATTAAAGCTAATATTAAAACAAATACTTTAAAACCTAAAGTGTCGCGGCGAGGAAATATCCTACCGGCGATTCCAGCTTTTTATGAAAAACCCCTGCTTTTTAGATCGGTATGGATGCCAACTTTGGTGGCCGCATCCATCCTCCATGTGCTCCACCGTCCCCTCCGGCAGCTCGAGGCATGTGGCAATGAGATGGATGTGCAGCGTCTGATCCATGCCGACCTGCGATTCGAGAAAATCGCCGCCGCCACCCAGCAAGCCAAGCCCGCTCCGCCGCCAAGTCCCTAATTTTGTTTTAAAAAAAGCATCCTCCATTGTCCTATACACATAAATAAATGATTTTTTTCAAAAACAGCGCATGAGTACACATTCATATGAATAAACAAATGTTGATTTTCTCTCTTCTCTTGACTCTTCACACCCAATACAGCTAAACAACGAAGCTCCAGGGCGAAGGCCGGCTACGACATAATTCAAATGACGTAGCGACGTAACGAGAGCAAACGTACTACTCGTTTCCAAAATTTTTTGGTTAGACTAACAATCAAAAAAGCTTATAAACACACAAGGTTATAACTTTTTTAACGTTTCATTTATATTTCATCGATTTCATCATGCTTTTTTACCCCTTGCCCGAAAATTTTTGCCTTGCGGACAAATTTTTGCTAAATTTTTGAAGAACCGGGGCTCCTGCAGGATAAAATAGCACGAATTCAGAACCAGAAGGAAAAATAGTGTATTTGAAGTATCCCTGAATCTCCAGACGCACCTAGAACTTCGCGGGAATCCTCAAAATGTGGGCCAGATAACTAGTTTGAGTTTTTTCGGCCGAATATAGTTCACGTTTGGGTCAGAGCATACACTCAAAAGATGCGCCTTCGTCCTCTCTATAAAGTTCTCAACTTTGAATCTGTTTAAAAACTCGTTTTGACATAGATTTTAAATAATTTATTATTTCCCCCAACCCAGGTTTTTCGGGAAAGGCCCGCCAGACCCAATAGTGCGACCCATGACCGTAACCCAGCGCCTTTCCGCACCTAATCCGGCCCCCGGCGAGAATACGACACAAACGTTTACGAATTCCGTAATGAGTGTACTTGTACTTCGTTGCAGGTTTAAGTAAGGCTGTACCGGCTGTGATCTTGACAACCTTATCGATTGATTACTTTCCAGATAAATACTTTGTACGTGTCCGTGCGATGGCGCCATGGCGCACCGCGTAGCTTTTCAGACTTTTTCGGATAATTTGCCTTTTTGCAATTTCTTTTTTGGCTACTTTTACGTCGTCGCAACATTTTTTTTGATGATTTTTGGCCGCTATTTCGGAATCGGGGACCCACTTGGTACGTGTAGGCGAACTGACCAAAAACATTTCTCTGGGATAACTTTCTGTCCTGTTTCCAAAGAGCATTATGCACTGGGAAAATCGTGATTTTCTGGGCCATAACTTCTCCGAAATCCACATTTCTTTCTTTGTTGATGAAGTGCTCTCTGTAAAAATGTCATTTTCGTCAAACGAGATGGTTTCCGTATTCGGAAATAGCGCTACATTTCTAATTTCCAGTATGACGCGTGTCGAGCGTGATAAGCGCAAATGGGAGCGACGCGGCTTGCCCACCGATCGGACCCAAGACTCTAACGACGAAAGCGGCCCGACGGGAAAAGATGGCAACCAGCTCTCGGATGTGGTCGAGTCGATACTGGGCAACCTCGACACCCATATCCACAAGAGCCTTGAGAAGATGGGCGACGAAGAGGTGGTTCCAACTTATTTCATCAAGTCTGCTTTCAGAAAGCGGCGCGAATCGCGAGAGTGCGCAAGACCGTGGCCCTGCGTGGAAGCCGGGTAGCCGGCGCGAAAACGATTCTGCTCTTCAAGCAGCTCGGCAACCGCAGCGACATACGCCCCAGCGGCACGGGCCTGCCGCATACTTATCGGGTACCTTCTTGCGTTCCTTTCAAGTGTGTTGTTCAATTTTAGCCCGTACTCGAGAGCGGCAACTTCCACCATGAAATTTTGAAGCGTGCAATGGCCCAGCTGATCGGCCCATTTCAGAAGAAGTTTGAGCCCATAAAGACCGGTAAAACTTGTCGATCGTCAGAGAGGGGTGTTTTTAGATAACTGGGCCGAACGGTGGGCAAAAGAGGCCGAGCTTTTGGAGGAGCTCATCGTCGCTCAGGGAGTCGACGCTTTGCATCTTGATGTCGGAGAACGGCGGACGGAGAAGCCGGGCAAGGCAACGACAGTCAAGAGAATCATTAGGCTGCGCCTCGGCCAGTTCAAGATTAGTATGCTTTTGGATTCTGACAAGGTAAATTATTGTTCGTCTTCCCCTGCCACCCCCCCCCGGCATTTTCGCAATATTTTATTTGGTAATTTTATATATTTTTATTTTTACAGCAGACGGTGCGGACCTGCAACCCAGACTTCGCCAAGGTGCTGACAGCCTGCGCCGTGGAAGCCAACCTTGGATTCTGGGAGACTATCATCACGTATTTGGCACCTGCTTTTGTCAATTTCTCGCTTGGCCGCTAGCCGGAGTTTTACGGCAGTCGTTTATTACCCTAGGTTACATCGTCCTTGTATTTGTTTTCACTGAATTCTCATGTTTGACTTGTTATCGCGGAATTTGCATTGTTTTGTTGGTTTTTGAAAAAGGAAATAAACGCATGTTCTGGCATTTGCAGTGATCGGGAAAGTGGTTGTTTTGAACCTTGCCTATTTCATTGTGTGTGTGTTGTTGTTAGGCGTCAGCGTCGCCCGCCGTTTTGAACTTCCTGACTTGATGGCCGGTTTCTTTAGAACTGCTAAATCTTCCCAGCACCAGGTCGCAACATTTTGTCGTATGGGGGATGCAGAACTCAATTTTCGTCTCCATAAAGAACGCGCCGCCGGCGAACTAACTACCGGTGACGTGATGAAGCTTATCGAGAAAAAGGTTTGTAAAAGGTATTCTATTCTATTTATGGTTTTAGCCGAAGGTGGCTGATGACCTGGGAGTCGCCCAATCAATCGTCTCTCGTGTTGAGGATTTTGCGGTATGACTTACTGGTCTTCGTTAGTGGTTCTAATTATAGCAGAAGCCTCTAACACCGTTGACGGCCTTCAGCCCTAAGGAAGCTCCTGATGAAAAGAAAGGCTCATCCAAGACCGTGAACAACAAAAGGCCTGTGGTCGAACTTGACAGTCCCATCACGAAAAGAGCCGTCCCTAGTGGGCTGAAAACGCTTACGGATAGCTTCCGGTAACTTACGCTTCCCGAAGCGTTTAGTTTTTTCTAGAAGCCCAGTTGCTTCGGCGGCATCTTCTCCGGCTGTTGGATTTGAGAGCCCCGTCACAAGGAAGCAGCCGCTCACAACAGACGAAAGGCTTACGGATGCTTTCAGGTAATTTTTGTTCCTTGTGCGTTTGACTAAAATTTTCTAGGAATACAGTTACTTCCGCAGCTTCTCCGAATTTTGGACTTGAAAGCCCGTCACAAAGAAAACCCCACTCACAGGAACTGAAAAGCTTTCGGATACTTTCCGGTGATTTTGTTTCCTCCAAATTAATGTAATTTTCTAGAAGTCCGGTGGTGTCGCCAGCCTCTCATAACACTCCGCCAAAAAATAAAAAGCCAGGCAGTGTTGCGCGCGATGTAAGTTGTCATTCTTATCTAATTTTCGGCCTTAGTTAACGGAGGTCATGAATGCCAGTTTCTCTTTGAAGGACGTGCAGTCGGAATCGAAGCAGATGTCCTCGCCCGTAAATACAAATCGCAAGGTCGCGACTACCAAAAGTGTGTCGGAGATCTCAGAAGCTGTAAATCTCGGTATATCTACCAAATTTTTTTAATTGAACGTTGTTTGCCGAGCGGATATTCGAATGCCAGCATTGCTTTCAGAATCCGGACCATCGGAAGATAATATGGATAGCAAGGACGACGCTGAAGAAACTGAATTTTTCTCGAAGCACCTGCCTCCAGGCTTCAAGCTTTCCTGTGGTACTTTTTTCACGCCTACGATTTCCTTAGTTTCTCGATTTGCGTGGCGCCCCGGTGGCGAAAAATGGAAGAATGCGCAAAATGATGCTCGCCTCAACGCTTTTGAAAAGGATCTGGAGGCGCTGCGCGAAGGTCAGTGCTTTCAGAAGTGGGGACTACCACAACCCTTGCCGGTCCTGCAGTCCATAACGATAATTTTAGAGGGAAACTCGGATTGGACGGCCTTGGAAGATGAGGAGCTCGACTTCTGTTGCTGCGATGCGCAACGCGAATATCAGCCGTTCACTTTCGGGGTAGTGTCTGTTTTCCCCCTGTTCATGCCAAAATTTAGAACGTTAAAGAGGAGGCTGCGATCCCGCTTCCCACTCGTCCTGGTTGGGTCCTCGAACATCCCAAAAGAAGTTATCAGACGTAGGCTATTTCCCAAAGTCGAATTCGATTTCTAGGACCTACAAAAAAATCAACGAGCTCTGCGTGAAGTTGCTTTATACTGATTTGGGAGCCGATGGTGAAGAAACGGTCTCCTTCAAACATTTGGCGGTATTTTTGAGATTAGACAATGCAACTTGAATTAGGAGATGGCGATGCTTATTGGTGGTTACGAGCGTTACAAACTTCGCGGGCTGCGGTCTTTCTGGGAGGAGCATGGCGAAATTTATCAGGAGGCCGCCAAGTACATGATTAGGTTGCTCGCCTCGGCTGAAGAATCGTTGAATATGGTGAACATGTTTCTTTTACTGAACTGTAATTTAGGCCATTCCCACCTAGCCAAAGGGACTCGTTCCGTGACCCTGAACCTCTGCCAATGTGCCACGCTCATTACTTTCGGCTTTTTCGGTGCATATCCCGACCGCCTGGGCAAGGACAACTATCCGCGCTTCGAGTTTGACAGGTATTAAATGATTCTAGGATTGTTAATGTGTTTAGTCTAATCAACTCGGAAAGCCGTATACATCAGGAAAAGCTGAAGTTCATCTTCAATTATTTCCAAAAGGTATGCTTCTTTTGTTTGGATCGCAGCGCGTTCCTAGATTTCTGGTGAGCACGAGACGCGTTGTAAGCAGTTAATCACTTTCACACGTCGTACGATGTCGCCGGAAGACTTGCCGGATTGGGAAAATTCGGCAGTGAAGGTTCTTTAATCGGATTGATGTTCAAATCGTGGCTTCAGCTTTCTTCCTGCAACTTTGCGCTCGACAACCAAAAACGCATCGAGGATTACCATTACGCGGTCCATTTAGACTTTGCCAATCGGCGTATTGGCGGAGGTGTCCTGGAAGAGGGGGCTGTTCAGGTGTGTTTGAAATAAATACTGATTGTTTTCTTAGGAGGAAGTGCTCATGCTTTGTCGCCCTGATACGCTGGTGTCCATGTTAATTTGTGAGAAAATGTATGCTCTTGAGGCTATCCAGATAAAGGGGGCACCGATGATCAACAGGTCGGTCCTACTTATACTTTTTACCTCATTTTATTTAGCTATAAAGGATACGGGCATTCTTTGGAGTTTGTCGAGTTACCGCCCCAGGAGTGTAAAATGGATGAGTGAGCTTCATTCATTTTCCGGACATTCATGCATTTAGGCTGGGAGGATATGATACAGAGATCCTCGCCATCGATGCGCACTGCTTCCAGATCTCATCGAAGCAGTATTGCAGCCATTGGCTAAATCGGGAGCTCAATAAGGTATGCTTGTTTCAGGTATACTAATTCTTTAAATAGGCATTCGTTGGCTTCTACCACAAAAGCGACAAATCTTATGACAAAAGCCGCCCGTTGGCTACAGGAAAATGGGGTTGTGGCGTCTTCAATGGAGACCCCTACTATAAAGGTAAATAACCTACACATCTATTGAGCCCTTGATCTGTTTTTCAGCCCTTCTCCAATGGATGGCGGCCGCCGTTAATCATCGTGATATGGTGATGACGACGTTTGGGGACGAGTCGCTACTGATGCAACTAGACTTTCAAATTATCATGTCACACAAACTAGGCTTGACTGTTGGTGGGTTTTTCGAGCTTGAGTTTTCGCTTTTTGACAGTCATTCACATCGTTCTTTCAGGCCAACTCTACAAGATCCTGCTGAACTGGGAGAAATTCGTCGAGCAAGGCGGACTTCGAGAACTGCCACTACCACTATTCATCATGGAGCAGATGGAGATGGCCTATGGAAAAGATCTCGACGATTGATTTATCCGATAACTTCAATACTTGTTTTGAGCCGTCCTCGTTGATTCCTACGTGTTTTTGTGGTCTATCCACCCGGTTACATCCAGATAACCAATTTTAGCCAATACATATCTTCTCGCTTTCCGTATATAGATGCTTTTTCTTGTAATCTCATCGGCAAGATAAATACATTTATCATTATGCAGGCAATTATGCTTAAATTCGGGGGTGAATACATCAAACGTGCAAGAAAGTTTTGGTTTTAACATGCAGCGCCTCTTTTTCCGCCGCAAGCAGCTCGACCTTCTTCTCGGTACCGAGGGGGCAACTAAAGAAAAATTTGGGCTTACGGTTTTGCTCACCTGTAGCCGCCGAGATTTCCATTGGAGCCGACTACCCGGTGGCAGGGGACGATCAGGCAAATCGGATTCCGGCCACACGCATTGGCCACAGCTCGGGCGGCCGTCGGTTTTCCGATTCGTTCAGCAAGCTGTAAACAAGGGGATGTCAAATAGAGCCGGATTACCTCGGTATAGGTAACCGTAGAACCCATCGGGATACGGCAAAGCTCCTCCCAGACGGCAGTTTGGAAATCGGTGCCCTGGAGGACAATTGGTGGGTTTTGTGGAGGGCTCCAGTCTAGGCCATTGATGCACCGTTTCGCCTGCAATTTGCATGTTTGTAAAAGGGCAACAGCACGCTAAATAGCCAAACAACGCTATCGAGATGGATAGCTATTTATATTGATAGAAGTCACCTCTTCTGCAAATTTTCCCAAAACCAGTTCTGCTCGTGTTTCTTGGTCATTTTGGTCGAGGAACTTCAGGAGTACAATGCCCGCGTTCGACTCGGTCACCAGTAACTACAAAAGTCTCATTCCCGCAACGTCAAAATCCCACCTTGCCGAACCTTGTGGCAATGACGCTCGTGATCTGCTTATTCAGCATATCCTAAAACGACCATTAGAGTTTTCATCCCATGTGTATTAAGGTATTCGTTGGGTGGCGGTTGAATCGGGGTTTCCCCTAAGTTGGATACGGTATCCGTTTATTTACATTCTCGTCATTCGCTGACACAATGGCAAGTGGTCGGAAACGGGTGATGATGCACAACGGCAACCAGAAAACAGACGGTCTATTGACTTAAATGGATAGAACCGCATATCTGAATGTGCGCGGGGGTGGTACCAAGAAGATGAGGCTCGCAAAGTGGTAACGTGAGAACCGTGTGGAAGACAAATATCACACAATCACAAGGGAAGTTGGCCATTAATACGGGGGCCAAGATGCATACACAGTGGGGGGGTGGGCGATACGCAATTTTAGAGGAGCACAAAAGGTGGCGTCCATTGATATTTAGCAATAGCAATGTTAGGCTCGGAGAAAAATATTGCCAGCAGGGCTTGAAAAAGTGCACAAATCAAATCTAAACAATGGGTAATAGCCGTAAGAAAAAGACTCGTGTCTCTCATTTGGGCCAACGTTTCAAGGAGGGCAGACGCAAAATTAGAGTGGGTACAGCAGCAAAGCGAAGAGTGGTGATGGAATAGATGGGTGGCGGGAATAACTAGGGGAATTGCAAATCCTATCGTGCAGAAAGCGGGAAAAAATAAATCCGATTCGCCTATGGACCACATATTGCGATTCGCAAAAATGGGCCAGACGAATGGATCGGACACCGGAAATGACAGAGGGTTGGTTAATACGCGTGCAAAGGGGGTGGGACTGGCTGTGACACGCCTAGTTGGTGGTGTGGTTAGAAACTCTCAAAAGGGGTGGCTACGTAAAAATTAGTACCGGGGAAAAGCGAGGGTAAAAAAGCCTCCCAACTACCTCATTGACACCAACACCACTAAAACTAGGGGGACCCAGAAAAGAGGAGTGTTTAAAGGGGATTGACAATCGTCGTCAAGGTTTGGAGAATTGAGAAAAATGCAATTCGCAAATTCGAGAATTTAGCTGCCAAACAAAGACGACGACGACCAAGCCCCCCTGGTCGTTTTAATTAAACTGATATGCCGAAAGAGCATAACAAATCGAAATCTCCTCGGTGACGGGCGAACAGTTGACGGGAAGCTGCTGGCAGAAATCATAGAGAGGTGGAGGCCGGTGAACCCGGCCGGGACGCCTTCTCACGGATTTGCTCCCTGAAAAATATATAGATAATTTCAGCTGTTTAAATAAAAGCAAATTCAGCTTAGCAAAAATACGAACCAGATGCCTTTGGCTTGCTCCCGAAATCTGTTCGCCAATCGCGCCAGTCCCGCGCGCCCTCAGCTCGTCTCTGGCCCAAGAGGGCGATCCGGCTCGTCAGGGTAGGCTGAAAAAAAATTAAATATAAAGGAAATGATGCAAGGAAAAGGCTGTCAACTTTATAATATGCTTACACTGGATCCTCGCATCGTCATCATCGTCTTCAACTGCTTCTTTCTTCTGAATAAATACTGGTGGTGGTGGCGCTAGCGCATATCCCTCAGCCGAGTTCTCGCCATTGGGCTTGACCTGCAAAAGGGGCAGGTTAAAAACGATTCCTAGAACATACCTTTGGCGCTGGTTCGGGGATGGGCAGCCCCAGTTGCTCTTTGCAGTAGTGTGCGACGCACTTGTGCACGAATTGGTATTGGTCCTGGGTCTGGACCATCGACGAGCGCTGTGTCCGCAGTTGCATCACCAGATCGTACAAGTTCAGCTCGGTCAATTTCTAAAAAAAGGAGAAGGAGGTTTATTAGGTAGCCGGATCAGCCTTACATTTGCCTTGATCAGCTCCCGCACGTGGTTGACGGCAATGATGGTACCCGTTCGTCCAACTCCAGCGCTGAAAATTAGGAGGTGAGAATACGGTAAAACACGGGTTAATAAAGGACAAGATTTCTTTAAAGGGATGCCGACGGCAAGCAACGGTACGCTGGAAAGAAAAAGCCTGCGCCTCCCCCAGGCCCGCCTCTGCCCTGTTGGCACTTGCCAATTTGTTGATGAGGGGGGATCGACACATGCCGTCGGCAGCCCTTTAAAAAACCTCTACCTGCAATGTACAAGTACAGGTGATGTTCTGCCCTCCTGCAACTCGGCCATCTTGTCGATCATCCGCAATAATTGATGCTCCCCGGCCGGACACCCATGATCGGGCCATTCCCTGGAAAAACAAAGTCAAAACCAAGTGAGAAGACACCAACGTGTAATGGAGCTGATGCACGACTTTTTTCACGCCCGTTGTCATGTTTTCAAAGCGTAACCGCCGCAGGACGTACTCGTCATCGCTGTCAAACCGCTCTTCGGCTTCAACCTGGAAGGAAAAGATCAAAACATTCCCCGCAACAGTCTCCTAAACAAGGCTTCAATTCGCACCGTCACTTCATAGTTGTCCCCGTATATTTGTGATTCGCCAACAGTCTCCGGCCAATAGCGCTCGCATTTGATCTAGAAAATTGAAATAAAAATTGACAATTCGCCAACCAACCTTGCTCATCTCGACGAGTCGACATAGCATAACTACCAGCGAAACGTCAAATTCCTCGATCATCGCCCACCATTCGCCTAACGTGGTTGGAAGAGGGGCCTGGGCGGCGATGAATCTTAAAAAAACCAATTTATTCAATTTTTAGGCAACTCACTTCGTTCCACCGAGGTCAATATTTGAGGCGTTGATGTAGCCCTCGCCATTCTCCGCCTGGTCGATCAATTTGAGGACCACCCGATTAGCGTCGTCTGTAAGCAGTTGTAAAAGACAACCAACAATTCTTACATGGCAATATGTCACGGTAGCGATTCCTTTGATAGTGCATTGGTGAGGTAGCGATGAGGGACTCGTATTCAGGCAAACGCCGCATGTCTTCTTGTTCCAGGCGTATCTTCTGAAAACAAACGGTCGGTTCAAATTTCGGCCATAGCACGGATAAAACAGATTGAAAAACGTACGAAAAAGTTTGTGATATAATCCCGGGGTTCCAGTCCGGCCTCGTATTTCAAGAAGGTTTCCATGACGGTCAAAGGGTCGGCTGTGCTACCGTTTGTTGTGGCAACGTCTGGCTTCTTCTGGGTGTCGACCTTTTGTGCAATATTCTCGCTATCGTCGCCGAAATCGATCAGTGGCGGATCAGTGGCATCAGAACATCCAAGACCGGTGGGCGCTCCGTTTGGTACCTGAAACAAAAATCATAGAATTTGGAGCAAAATTCTTGGAGAATTCAATCGGATTGCTACCAAAAATACGCACCATGTTTTCTTTAATCTCCGGCACGTCATGCGTCGAGCCGATGCCGTCGGTCGGGTCGACCCGCGTGCCCGCGCCCGACATAAAACTACCTAAAATCAGCCGTAATTTATGAAAAAAAATTAGCGAGCGGTCAATAGAAAGTAGAAAGTTACCTCTCGTCATTGAGGCAAGAACAAGAGCAGAATCAGAATGAAAGGGAGAGGATCAATGCTCGTGGGGGAAATATTTGCGGCCGGGAGGGGCGCGGGATTGGAACTTGCATGGGTCGAATCGAAAAGCTGCTCCCGGACCGCGGGTCATCGCCGAGCAAAAACCGGTCTCGTGGCAGTAGGAAACCGTATGTCGAGTAGGATTAGCAACATAGAAAACGAAAAGCGGAAAAACCGACAAACAATTGGTTTTTGTTTTTTGGTGTCAAAAAAGGATGATCTAGAAGGATATCCACGATTTAAAAACGAAGAAATTGAATGATCTTCCAGCGGGGTTTCCAAAGGCTATGAAACTCTACGATCGATAGGGCCAGACTGCGGCGATAAATCGGGATTCCAATAAAAAGCGTGGCCGACGACTGCGGGGGGTGGATAAGCTGCTTCATTTCTAGCCAAAAGCCGACACAATGCAAACAATGATGAGGAGCGGCCCCCGACGGGGCGAACTGTCAATTTCCGGAGGGCCGGGGAGCCCATTCGTGGATCGGATCCACCGTCCAATGTGCATTCGGTGCACCCAAATTTTAGCTGGGCCACGAGATAGGGCAGACCTTTACAAAGTATATACAGGGTCTTCGCCCAAACAAGCCAGAAGAAGTACGAAGAGCGAACAAGCAAACGGAGACCGCTGGTTTTCTCACCTTCCAGAGCCACGATTAACGTTAGAAACCAGCAAAATCTGAGCGGGGACTTTTCTGGACGCACCTTAAACCTACGTGAATAACGCAGTAGAAAAGCGAGCGAATGCCCTCGAAGCACCGGAAGTGGAATGGCGCCTGATCAGCACATAAGCGATAATCAGCCTAGGTTTGATCGATATGGATCGGGTGAAGCGATGAGCCACCCCCCTACAGTTCTCGCGGTTCGACGAGCGCGATAAGGGCAAACAATATTCCGCGGGGGAATTCGCGTCGGCCCTCAACAACTGATAACGCCCGGTCCTAAGGCTTCGGCCCTTCGGAATCCCATCAAATTCCGGCAAGCCGTGGGTCGATGAATGGTTTGCAGAAGCTGATCACCGACCCAGCCCCGGCAGCAGGTAAACGGCAGTACTTCTGTTCGAGTTAGTGAAGCTTGAAATGGGAATTTAGGAAATTTAGCTAGCTGTCTAGCGCTAGAAAAACCATACTTTCTAAAAAAACACAGCCTTGCAAACCGTGCGACATAACCACATATAAGCGTTAGGTAAGTAGCCTTCCTAGCAGTAATAAATATTTGTAGATTTACGAATCGCCGAAGAATCGCCGGTTTTTTGTAAAAATAAAGTGAAAAAGCGTGAGTTTTGAGGCAGCAAGACGTGACTGTGACTGCCTGTGTGTGGGCAATTCACCCCAGGAAAGGGTCATCGGGCACTCTGCTGAAATAATTGACTCGGACGCCAGATGTGTGACCTCCAACCGTGGAGTTCCGGAAAATGCGAAGACAAAGAACCGCGCGCCCTTTTCATAAGCGCACTTCGACAAAAATCGAGGTTTTCGAGGTTCCTATAAAAGTGGACGCGTTTTAATCCTAAGCCGGGGGGAGAT